GGGGGGGGGGGGGGGGGGGGGGGGGGGGGGGGGGGAGGAAGAAATGGGTGCTGGAGGGGCGGCCGGGACGGAGGGGAGGGGAGACGCAACGTCAAGGATGGCGAGCGGCGGCGGCGTTGGGTTGGCATCGCCTTCGCCGGCGCGCTCCGGCTTTCTTGAGCGTGGCTGGGTCGCCCGGGAGCCGAGTGACGTCATGAGCGATCCCGGCTCCTTTTGCCAATCATCTCAGAATGTCGGGAGAGGCGCCCGCGGGCGCTGGGTTGGAACGGACCCGTCCCGGGGCATCCCGCAGGCCAAAAGGCAGATTCCACACAGAGAGAGAGAGACAGGACGGGTTGGTTGGTCTTTCCCCTCCCGGGAGAAACCTCTGCCTTTTTTTTTAACCCTCTTCTAACACGATCCCACATTTCTTTCGGACTCTGAGCGGTCGGCTTAAAAGATGGGTCGCCCCATGCTCCCGCTAAGCTGTGGAGTCTTGCCAGCAAAGGTTCTGCTTTGTGAGCGGCTGGCACTCAAGTTGCGAGCCGGCGATTTGGTTGCTGCATAAATTAGTTGGGGGGGCTTCCTGAGCGGAGACAGAAATGTGCCAGACGGAGGCTTAAGAAAAGTATGAGCTGGCTCACACTCACTCAGCTTAGAGGGAACACTGGGAGCCGCCTACGTCTGCCTATAGCAGCAGAAAACAGGAAGAGTCCAGGAGCACCTTAGAGGCTAACAAAACTGGGGGCAGGTCTCTTCTGCTCACTGCTCACTTCCTCAGATACAGCTAGAATGTGTGTCCCTCCGTCCTTATATCTTGGAGAGGGGAGTGATTTCAGATGCTGACTGACAATAGCAGGCAAATGACAGTAGCAGGTGAATGATAATCGCAGGTGTGACTGGGTTAGGTGTGATATGCAGAAGACTAATAGGGTGGAGAAATCAGTATTGGTAATGAGACAGGAAACCTAGGTTTCCATTCAGTCCAGGGGGATGCACTGTCTTGAGCTTCATTATTAGTTGCAATTCAGCAGTCTCTCTTTCTAACCGCCACTCTCCAAGATGTAAGGAGAGATGGGCTCACGTTCTAGCTGTATCTGAAGAAGTGAGCAGTGACTCACCAAAGCTCATATCCTGCCACAAATTTCCTAAATCTGTTCCCAAGTCTGAGAGAATAGATTTGATTCAATGGGCAACTGATCACTAGCCATTGTTTTACCAATTGGATTTGAGAACCAACAAGAAAGGGGGTGGTCTGTCTGTCTGTCTTTCTTTCCATCAGAGAATAACCAGGAAAACAAGAAAAAGAAAGATTCTCTCAGCCTCCCATCAGTAGCTTCTCCTGGAGGCACTGGCAACACCTCCCAAGAGTTCTTCCTCCTTTTCCTCTCTTCTTTTCCAATTTCCTCTTTCTTTCTTTTTTTTAAAAAAACTCAGGCCAAATTTGACTGGAGCTGGAAGACTTGGAGCAAGTCAGTGTGTAAAAAAAAAAAAGCCCCTTCTCCCAATAGTCTTCATCCTATAGGTCATTTGACCCTTGGAGTTGGAAGGCTTGGAGAATGGCAGTGTGTAAAAAAAATGCCCCTTCTTCCAACAGCCTTCATCCTATAGGTCATTTAACCCTTGGAGTTGGAAGGCTTGGAGTAAGCCAGTATATATAAAAATTGTCCCTTCTTCCAATAGCCTTCATCCTATAGGTCATTTAATCCTTGGAGCAAGCCAGTGTGTGAAAAAAATGTCCCTTCTCCCAATAGTCTTCATCCTACAGGACATTTCATCCTTGGAGCTGGAAGGCTTGGAGCAAGCCAGTATATATAAAAATTGTCCCTTCTCCAAATAGTCTTCATCCTATAGGTCATTTCATCCTTGGAGCTGGAAGGCTTGGAGCAAATCAGTGTGTATAAAAAATGCCCCTTCTCCCAATAGTCTTCATCCTACAGGTCATTTAATCCTTAGAAATCTCCCCCCACCCCCATTTTCTCTCTTTTTCTTCCTTCTCAATTTCTGCATCCCCCCTCTCCTTCTCGGGGCAAGCGCTGACTCTCAGGCCTCTGCCTTCGCTTTCCAGGCTCCTAGTCTCCAAGGTCTCCTGGCTTCCCTGCCCGCCCCGCTGGCGTCTCTTCTTCATCTCTTTCCTCCCCTAAAGCCCCTGTCAGAACGGACCTGTCTGGAAATCTCAAGGATACAGTAGTAATCCTCCGTACACGAAACTGCGATTATTCACGTTCCCGATACCTTTCCTACGCCTCCCTTCTCCTCTGAGTTGGAAGCTTCTCGGGGCAGAGCCCTGGCTGTGTTAACCCCCCCACACACACACACACAAAACGTCCCGTCCATTTATGGCGACAGAACTTTTCGATCCCGCCGGTCCCCTGGATACACGTCAATATTTTCTGCTCCTCTTCCTTTGAGCTTTTGTTCGAGGGAGCAGGAAAAATGAGCCCTTTCTCACACAGTGTGGACCCTTCAGTCCCTCAACACGTATCGGCACCTTCCCCGCTTCTGGCAAGTGCTGGGGAATCTAGTGGATCGCTCTGTCGACCCCGCCCACCCATTCCAGACGGAGGAGAAGGAAGCGGAGAAGAAGAGGAGGAGGAGGAGGAGATTGGATTTATACCCCGCCCTTCACTCGGAGTGTCAGAGCGGTTTACAAACTCCTTTCCCTTCCCCTCCCCACGGCAGACACCCTGTGAGGTAGGTGGGGCTGAGAGAGCTCTTTCCAGGACTGTCCTTGAGAGAACAGCTCCGACAGAACTGTGGCTTGCCCAAGGTCATCCAGCAGCCGCAAGCGGAGGAGTGGGGACTCAAACTCGGTTCTCCCAGATTAGACTCGGCGCACTTAACCACTCCGCCAAACGGTGTGCTTGGAAGTGGAACCCAACTGCGCAACCAAAGCAAACGGGGGTGAATGGATCGGGGAGTCTGGTCTGCCTTCCAAAAGAGGATTCATCGGGCTGTTTTCTGGTTCTCAGACTATACTGTGGCTGCGGTCCCGTCACACGCGCGAAATAATCCACTCTCAATGCGCTTCCCAACTGGATTTTTAGCGTGTGAACGGGCAAAATCCAACTTGAGAGTGGATTATTTAACGTGTGTGTCCGCAGCCTCTATCTCCACTTTGGTCCCTAACGCACCCAGGAGTTAGAA